CAGAGAAACATCTCTGCAGCAGGAAAGACTGCTGCGGACAAAGACCACAACTCTGTTCTGTTCTTTCTCAGATTGGAGTGCACCTCGTAATTTGGGAAGCTAAGATGGTTAATCGGTGCGAACTCGGAGATTTTTGTCTCCGCCAAGAAAAGCATGGCGGGACGATTGGATTGCAAGTAGTGATGTACAGCATCAAGGTTGCTGTTAATTTCGCATATGTTCGCGCAACAAATTTTATCTTCGATGTTCCCTCGAGTCCACCCGTCCATCCAGAGAATGCAGTGAGTTTACTCCGGAATTCTTAGTACTCGAAGGGATCCACCATCATTAATTTGTTTGTTTTGGAAGATAACCGCTGCATAGCTTAGGTGTGGAAACATGTGGACATTTATTTATAAGACACCCTGGGAAAAGCTAGCGGGTGGTACCACCTCGGTCGACTGGTCGTTGTCTACCACCTTCTTTTTGCGTGTTAATATTAAATAGACTTAAAGTGGCCCGTTGGCGGGCTTGTACCGCTACCCGGCAGTCGGTACTGAGGTATTCCTTAACGCGTGTACAATCACTTGAACGGGAAGAAGTTGTATACTGGATACAACAACTTCCGGAACAAGCATTTGCCACGGCCCCGCTCAGTAGGGGTTGGGGTTTTTTCAGACTTTCATTGTCGAACTTAGATTTACGGCATAGTTGTTGTTTTCTCAGTTTTCGAACCGGTATTTATCGCATGTAAAAATGTTGGAAAAAACTATTTGTTAGATCGTAATTATTTTGATAATGTATGTTTGTACGAAACAAGTACAGGAATATATGGCTGTACATATTTACGTGTAGTGCAGCGGCTCTGTGATTTAAACGAATTCAATATAGCAACATAAATAACATACGCGAGGAGAGATGTGGGACGTCTGGTATCGACTTTGAGCATCGATCGACGCAGTTTCTGGACAGGCCACAGGTGCATCGCTAAACAAATCTCATAAGTGTATATTTCCAATTTAGGCGTCCATCTAATATAGTGCTTCGCTGCAACACCAATCCCGAACAAAATCAGTCAAGCTTTGCACACTTTTCAAATTACTATTGAGCAATAAACAGAACATAAATCACCTTTTAAGTGCAATCTGTATAGCTAATATATCAGGTACCCAGACTTAGATTTGTCACAAGTCACAATACACGTATATACGTATAAATCGTAAGAATTGTGCTATAAACAAGTGATCTCAAAGAGGTTCAGCATTTGGAATACCAAAGGATACCAAAAAATCGCAATGCTCAATTCCTATAGCTATATTAACTTATAGATAGTATGCTTCTGTCGCCATGATATGTCAGAAAGTAACACAATGATGTTAGATTACAAAGGCAAGTGTCAGATGTCTAGGGGAGGGTGTGCGCCCTCCGCGCTCCCTCTCTAAATCCGCCACTGTCACTGGCTTTTGACATCTGACAAGTCTCTGTTATTGAAATCTGTTCGCTGTGACATCTTTTTCAATTATTTAGTTTTTACAATCTTGTTGATAATGGTGAATTATTCAAATGCAGAAATGGCGGAAATGCATTACGTATATGGCCTTGCCGTCGGTAATGTTGAGCAAGCCATACGGATTTTTCACCAGAGATACCCCGATCGTGCTTTGCCAGATAGTCGAACCTTTTCTAATATTCATCGTCGTCTTGTTGAAACTGGTTCTATCCAAACAGGAACATCTGACGGTAGACCTCTAAGTGTGAGAACACCTGAAATTGAGGAAGCAGTGCTCCACGAAGTCGAAGAACATCCTGAAACGAGTACGAGGAAGATCGCTAGACACTTAAATATATACAAATTGTTTGGAGAATTTTAGTTGATCTTTTGTTATATCCTTACCATAATTTAACAGTACAGGCATTACTTCCCATTGATTTTCCAAGGCGTGTGACCTTTTGTCCGTGGTATCTTCAAAAATTACACAAAATCCGCAATTTGAATCACGGACGAAGCTAATTTTTCTCAAAATGCCATTCAGAATTTCCACAATAATCATTTGTGGGCAGAAGAAAATCCCTATGCCGTAACCGAAACCCATTTCCAACACCAATTTTCGGTGAACGTATGTGCAGGAGTTATTGGCAACCACTTTATTGGCCCAGTCTTCTTGCCGAGACGACTTGACGGACAGACTTACCTCAATTTTCTTCAACAACAGTTGCCTTTGCTGCTTGATGATGTTCCGTTAGTAATAAGAAACAATTTTTGTAATCCTTTCGTTGGTATTAATGTTATGTTTATGTTGTCAGTTGTTGTTGTTCATTACCCCTAATATGTTTAATTTTTTCAATTAAATTAATAATAATTTTGCAAGTTAGGCAATAGAACGGTTTTTATTTTTTTACTCAAAAATGGCGCATCGAAGGAAAATAATTCAAGAGAGATCATTTTTTTTAAATTGAACGAGGAATTCAAAAATAATTTTTATTTGGCAAAAAACCATTGGCGTACCATTTTTTTCTTAAAAAATATCGAAATCAATACCCGTACGCCCGCCACTGTTAAAGCTAAAAATTATTTTTGCATTGAAAAATATGCAGCTTTATTTACTTTCACTACGTACTAAATATCAGTGAAATATCTGAAGCGGTTTTGAAAATATTAATTAATTTCCATTTTTTTCCTAAAACTTCAACACCCCGAGTTTTGGTAAGGAAACATTTTTGTACCACAGTTTATAAAGCAAACTAACATTAATTTTTCATGTAGATTCACACCCTTAAATATTCGCATATCATTAAAGAACACCCTGTATAATAACATTTAAAAGTTAGCTCTTAAGTTTAAGATTCTTATTTCCTCTGTTCACTGTGATGATACTGAAGTTGAGTCATTTATTTTAACAGTGAGTAGATCTGATCAAAAGAAATGTTTTTTTCCTTTAACATTTTTCTGGTAAAATTAAAGTAACAAAGTTATAGCCCTTTAGAAGTTTGAGTACCGCCCTGTCTCAATAATAATATTATGTGCTCGTGTTTCGGAAACAAAAAATCGAAAGAATTTGAAACGCTTATCACGATGTTTTTAGTTGGATTCAGTCGGTAACGCGTGAGTGAATAGTGGTGTTTGTTGCGTGGCTCAAACGAAATAAAAAATGGCACATGTTTACGAAAATGCTGAACTTGTGGACATGATTCTTATTTAAGGGGGGGGAGTCAAAATCGCACTGAAATACTTGTCGGGAGGATACTTTATAAAACAAGGTAATTTTTTTTTTTATTTTTACACACATATTTTAGTTTATCTTCCTTCTACAATCACTATCTGAAAATTAATGACTCAACTTCAAAGTCACCCTGTATATTATTATAATAAAATTTAAAAAACATTGGTTTCATTTGAGAAACATAAACAAGAACTTTGTTAGAAATAATCTAATGCGCCTTATGTTAGATAACATCTATACACGCGACCATGTTCAATATTAGAAGTCTTTTTACTCTCTTACTCAGTGAGAATGATGATAGTATTTGATGTTACAAAATGTAAAAAGAACACACGGTAAATCTTCTACATTTTTTTAACATCAAATAATAGTCCCATTCTCACTGACGGAGTAAGGCTTCTAATCAGTTGAACATGGTTACTATTTTTAATTTGTTTTTAGCTCCTGATGATGGCATCATAGTCATAACCAGTTGAACACGGTTACTATTTACTGTTTTCAATTTGTTTTTAGCTCCTGATGATGACATCATAGTCCGTCGAAATCTCAAGTATTGTAAGTCAAAAGGTTTACTAAGTATAATATGTCAATATCCCAAAAGATAAGTCTTCCACTTAGCTAGTTATTTCGACAATAACTATGAATTACGCACTTACAAGCAGCGTTGCTGAGTACAAATGCCCTTGCGACAATTGAGGAACGGGGGGTGGAATACGTGGGGGGCGTAGGTCTCACGCTTGAGCTCCATAAAGGTATGTTTTGACGAAGATACAATAATTATATACCATTTTCTTGAAAACAATGGCAGACTTCGGCATCTATCGTGGGGCTCGCCTCTAAATTCGCCTTTGATGGGCATGCAATTTTCCGTTTTGTTAATCTATATACCTACAACATACAAATACCTGAAGATACAACCAGTGGCTCTAGCAAGGGGGTGGCGGAGGCGGTCCGCACCGTGTGTCACCTTTTTGGGTGACACTCACCTGGTGACTCAACTTTAAGAACAATGTACAAGTATAAAAAAAATTAAATCGCTAGCACAGCTGTCGTCTTCGATGATTCCTTCTCTATATATAATTTGGGGATTCCCCCAAAATCGGAAGACTACGATATTCCAGACGACTTCGTTGTAAGAGACGTGTGGTTGGTGAGATGGCCAGTGATGCAGAACTCACAGTGAAAGAAGAACTTTAAAAAGATATGTTGGAATGTCTTGACCGATTCAGAGTTGAACTCCAGACTCGAAGTCTCTTCAAGACCTAGCTTTATTGTTGGAGATCGTACAAACAAATACTTTGCTTTTGGCGAATATTGAAGAACTGAAACTAGACACACCCAAATTTACTGATTTTTATGATGAGATCTCAGAAACAGATTTACTTTTGGAGATACCAAGACCGCGAAGACACTTAAAAGCCGCTAATGTTACAGTTTCTGATTGGGTATCTCTAGATTTTTTAAAGTTTATTGTAGAATGGTATTTTACAGAATCTTATGATTGCACTAAAATTGTTCATGACGGTTTGCGTATTCGTAGCTTTCAGTAAACTAAAACTATTAAAAAACTTTTTGCGGGCAACAATGACCCAATCGCGGCGTAGCAATCTTGGTATATTAGTAGCCATCGAACATGAGGCAATACAAAATATAAATTTTGATGAAGTTATTTTTGAATTTTCAGCTGTCAAGGCTAGAAAGAAGAGATTTGAATTGTAAGATAAAAATATTTTTTCGGTCTTAGTTTTTATTGGGTTTTGTTATTTGTTCAATATTTTAATTATAAATATTAAATGATCCATGACGTTTATAAATCATATAAAATGTATTACTTTTGACTTTTGATGGAGTGACACTACCAACTTCCACACTGGGTGCCATCCAAGGTAGCTATGCAACTGGATACAACTGCAATGTCCACAGTCCGCATTCAATAACTAAGTATTTTTGAAAATTGAATGAAAGCAAGGTCACCCAATTCGTGTGCCTGTGCAAGAGCGAGTAACAACTGCGATCGACTTGAGCAAGTATGCAATTTCGTTAGGGAAGTTAAGCTCTGCAAATGGTACAATTACTCAATCCGTTTATTTATTTTGTATTGCATTGTGCTGTAACCGGCAAGCACCATGAAAAGAACTGTAGGCAGTTGTTGAACTTTTTGTTCATAAACAATAGAATGTATATATGTACATTTTGCAGGAGGGGCCCAATATAAATGTATAGTAGTTTTTTCCTTTTCAATGGTCACAGTCAATTTTGTGATGACATAGGGGTTGAGAATATTTTTGTCCATGGCCCTACTAGGTCTACCGATGTCACTAACTTGAAGGGGGTTGGTCTGAAGAATAATAGAGTTTGTGAATGTTTTGATTCTAGAAGGAAAAGAAAATTGGTTAAAGTCCTACTCAGACTTTTCTTGGATTCGGGTGTTATGCAAAAACACCTAAACTGAGACATTCTATTTAATATTTGCTCTGCAAACATAATAAGTCTCTTATTCAATTGTAATGAAATACCTACATAAACAAGAATAAAAATAAAAATAAAAAATGTTAATCCATAAGATAACAATGTCAACTTAATTCAGATTTCATAACTTCAGCTTCTCTTAGCACCTTATTCAACCTTTTTCCTATCAATTTTGGATAGCTATTATTCTTTATTCTGAACTCTTTGCTTTGATGAGAGACAGCTCCATTTTTCAACTGAAACTCACACATCACCTTTAGTGGCTCTACTAACTTTTCTTTATAAAGATTATCTCCTTCTAAGGCTGCTAGAGCATATGCTGCAGTTTCTAATGTACTCAAACATCCATCACTTGGTTGTGTCCTAATTATGTAATTACTTATAGCACTTATAAGTAGTTTTACTTGCTTTAACTTATGTAAAATTGGGCTGCCAACATATATTGCTTTTGCTTGAGGCCATGTACCATCTATTATAACTATATTATACGGACTTTTATCACAATTTTCACGCACTGCAGTTATTTCAACTGCAGATGTACTGGGGTATAACAGCAAAGTATTATCTGAATTCAAAATGTCAATAAGTTCAGTGTGTCTGCCAGGAAAGTATTTTCCTCTGAAAGTTAAGCATTTTCCTCTATCTAAGCCTAACTGCAACATGGGGGCAGTCCGTAAGCATCTTTTCTCTTCTGCAGGATGTTGTAACAAGATTATTCTGCTGCTCGGGCACAAACGTGGGTTAGGAATCGATGTACAGTAGCAAACTGAGGTAGGTCTTCTGGAAATAATGAGGTACTATAATAACTGACGTTCTATTCTATATTATTCTGATAGACCTACTCGCACTGACTGCAGATACTGCGCATTAGAGGGGGATCGGGAGGAATATCAGAGAGTTCGGCCAAGGCGTCCGCCTCATTGTACATATTGGAAAAGTCCTGAAGTTACAAGTTACAAAGCTCAGTAAATTGCATACTTTTTATAAGATTTTAACATTTCTTCAATTTTAAACCCTCAAATATTAAAAACCCCAAATATTCAAATAAAAAATAAATAATGAATAAAACAATAAAACTGACAGACAATCGTGACAGTCTGACAGTGACAATGCCCTTTACAGCTGTGTGAGGCAGCGTTGCCGGATTCCTCAAGAGAAATAATCCTACAAGCACATTAATTATCGTACATTACCTGACGCAGTCATTACGTCATTACGTCCTAAAATTCATGTACAAGGAGATTTTCGTCTCGGGGACCTTGACTGTGTACAGCCTATTGACAATTGAATGCGCGATGGAGTGGTAGAGACGTGTGAGCGTAATTGTTGGATATCCGTTCAACACGTTTCAACAATTTTATATAACTTTGGCTTAGCTACACCAGCCGTGTTTTTTGTAGATACTACTTCTGGGTTTTACATTATAAAAATGGTCTTAAAAAAAGTGGAACGTGAAATATCAGCAGATTTGTATAACCTTTGTGCTAGCCTGTTGACATATTACAGCGAAATGTTGCTATGTTTAATATATAACTTAAATTTAGAGAAAATATTCATGCTAATTATAGTGGAGTCGGCCTTCTGCCACGTGCTAATGCGAGTTGCAGCTTCTGCAGCACCTTTTGCGCTACCTTCTCTTTTTTCCTACACACAGTGTTGTGCATTCAGATGAGTGGAAAACAAAAACAAACATTGAATGAACACGGAATGACTAAGTACTGACACATATGAATGAGGAACTTTCTTCGGTCTTCCGCATTATGGACGTTTTATGGCTCCGTGCACTGTATCAGAAAACCAACCAGAAAACATATAACACTGGCACTAGTTACAGAATCACAGAACAGCCAACGTGCAGATAACGAGAACGACAAAATGACAGACGTTGTTTTGTCACGGAGTCATTTCTCTTTTTGAGGAGGTTATGTAGAGATAATTTAAATTGGTTTTTGAAATACATTCTTTGTTAAACATTATAAAAGACCGGTAGAAGCCTCTGAACTCAGTATGGCAGCAATAAATCAGAAAGAGTACCTAAAAAAATATTTAGGTATCGGCAAAAGTGAAAAGAAGAAAAAGAAAAAGCCAAAAATATACGGGGACAGGTAAACAATTGCCAAAAATTCTCTACTTTGTATTGTATTTATAGTTTTCTTTTCCAGATTGAAGATAGTGGATGACAATATTGATGTCTCACTATCACAAGAAATCCAAGAAGATATTGATGCAGGCAATGAGGATGCCCCTCTCATTGTATCCGTTATAGATGATACAAAAGGTACTATGTGGCAACCCATTGGATCTACTGCCTCAACAGGAACAGGAAATTCTCAACTAATAGTAGATACTTTCAAATTAAATAAATCTGCAAATGAAACTAGTCTGGCAAAAAGTGTTAAACACAAGGCAGATCTAGATGTGAGAAAGAAATGTCCTTCACCTGATGTCTCTCCTCCTAGAAGACGTGACATGACTCCTCCTCTTAGGGTTAAACAAGAAAGGATATCTCCAGACACTTCTCCACCAAGAAACAGGATAGTGATGACATATCTCCTCCTAGGAAAAGAAATGTCAGATATAGTGATATGTCGCTTCCTACAAAGAGGAACATTAAAGAGAATCAAGATGTTTCACCTCCAAGGAGGAAGTACAATAGAGCTAGTGATGTTGATAGCTCACCTCCTAGCAAAACTACAGTAAAAAGGGAGCACAGTCATATGCCAAGTACAAGTCGAGTTTCTAATGACATTTCACCTCCAAGAAGAAAGAGGAATGATGTTTCACTATCAAGAAGGGAAGACAGAGGTCATTCTCTGAAAAGCAAAAGTAGATGGGATAATGAAAGGAGTAGCTCCTCAAAACTTTCTTCACCTGATAGTTATAGCACATCTAAGGATAGAAGGTATATATATTTTTTTTAAATACACTAACAAAAGCACTTTATCCAATGAATGTGAAAATAGCTAGTGAGATTGATATTATAATTATATTTTTTGGAAAGGTCTGTTTATTCTAAAAATGTATTACTTTATTTTACTTTACTTTTCCAAGAATTTAATGAATCACAACAGAAACTATTGTACAGCTCAGACAATTTCTTGTGAGTGGAGCTTTGTAGTTTAGTGTATGCACTATTTTTTTTTATATTATATGAGTCCTGCACAGCATTTTTCACTGTGAAATTTAACAGCAGAATATTGAACTAAAATTGAAACCACTACATTACATTTTTAAAATATTTGCTTTTGATATCGGTTTCTGAGCTGTCTTTGGGATTAGGTTACAAAAAGAAACACAAATTAACCCTTTATACTGGTATTGTCAGGTCAAAATTGACTAGGCACATCTTTAATTTCTCACAGATTCGAGTTTTGCAGTTATGTAGTAAGGGTTTTTGGACAATAATATAGTATACTATGCTATAGAGCAAAGTGGTATCTTACAGAATATAGGACCACTTATATCATTTTCTAGTTCAATTAAGGATAAAGATATATCTCCTTTGAGAAAAAGGACACATAGGGATAAGGATAGAGAAAGAGATGTTTCACCAGCAAGAAGGAAGCATAGAGATAGTGGTGAAACTAGAAGGAGAAGTACAGAAAAAATGGAGAGAACAATGAGTGGTAAAAAAGCAGGGTTACAGAGTGCCAAAAACTTAGTGGAAGAAATAAAGGTTAGTCAGAATACCAAAGCAGCATGTCCATTGAGGGGAGGGAAGCAAAATGAAAAGAAGCTGAACAAGGAGATATTGACTAAACTCTGCCACAAGTTTCTGTGCAAATAATCAAATGCAGCCTGTATGTGTAAACAACAAGCATCACTGTGTCTCCCTCCATGGCGACTGGCCTCATTGGACATGCACTTAAGAATATCTTTTGCTTCTATGGATTCATGTACCAAACATATGGTGTATATATTTGTTGTTCTCTATTTAATCATGTAACTTGGGATACTATCAGAATCTTTATTCCATAGATCACCAGAGAGCAGAATCATTCTAGAAGCCATTAAATAGGCATAAAAGTTAAATAAATGTATATAGGGATTTTACAGATTAGATGATTTTTGAATATCTTATTTTTGTTAAAGAATCTACAAAAAAGGGAAGAAGCAATGTTCAATAACATGTCTGAGGATGTTCTGGGAGTACATGCAGCAACTATAGTGAGGAAAAGGAAGAAGGAGGAAGATCCTGAGGAGCTAGCAAGGAAGTTACAGAGAGAGCAAGAACTGAAGGAAAAGTATGATAGGTGGGGCAAAGGCCTGAAGCAAATGCAGGATGAGACAGCAAGGATTGTAGATGCTGTACACGAGATGAACAAACCATTAGCTAGGTAAACTATATGTATTATCTAGTCATAGACTCAAATTGCTTTATGCAGAGACATCTTTGATCATCTAGTTAGAAAATATTGAGATTTTAGTAAAAATTAAACTTGTTCTGATAACATTTTGGTATCTTCAAAATGATTTATCACTGGTAACAATATCAATATGAACAACACAAAGTATACCGGCTGTTCCAAATCTGATTGACCCCATTGGGATCTCAAAAGCAGTAAAAGATATTAGTCGGTTAAATAAGACCAAAGCTGGGTAACTAATGCAAATTATTTACGGAAAAAATACGAATTTTCCCAAAATCCCTTGTTTTTTTACTCTTCAAGCTTAAAAATAGCAATTTTTCCATAATTACTGAAATGTGCAATTTTGCCTCCATTTAGTCAACTGAGTGTCTCTTATCGTTCCCGAGTTCCCAATCGTAAGGGTCGAATTTGAAACACCTGGTATATCAATTTGTCTTTACTTTTCTTCAGATATGCAGACGACACAGACTTAGAAAAACACTTGAAAGAACAGGAACGAGAGGGTGACCCAATGCTTGACTACATCAAGAAAAAGAAGAAGAAGAAAAATATTGAAGCAGGAATACCAGAAAAACCAGTGTTCATGGGAGAATTCATGCCCAACCGATTTGGCATCAGACCCGGTTATAGATGGGATGGAGTAGATCGATCAAATGGTTATGAGAAAAGATGGTTTGAAAACCAGAACAAGAAAAAAGCTCTCCAAGAAGAAGCCCATAAATGGAGTACTGAAGATATGTAATTACGCTATTTTTTGTACAAATAAAACATTTTATTGCCGAGATTATTGTGTTTTCATAAAATACCTCGAAAAGGGGTGGATGTACCTGTAAAGAATTGTACAAGTAGAACTCTGAGACATAGTTATGGTCTGTTGACCATGATATAAATATATCACAATAAAACACATTTGATCATAGGTCAAAGGGACCTGGCGCGCATGTCTGATCACACTCTATGTTCTTCCAAACGTAAAATTATGTTATAAAGGCGGTGAAATGACATCTTTGTTTTTTCCACCATGAATGTTTTTTTGATAAAATGGTTCTATAATGACCGGTCTAACGAACCTCAACGTCATATTTGAATTTCCCGCTCATTGTTATACCTGTATAGATTTTACGATTGGTGACCCTGTATGCGGAAGAAAAACCCACAGATCAATGGAAAATAATTCCATTTTTCCAAAATTTGGAGCAAAATACTATTCTTATTCATTATAAACCATATAATTACAAATTTCTCACGGAAAATATGAGTGCAACGACGCCATTTTGTACATATGACGTTTCCTTGATCTGTGTCTCCACCATACATTTTTTCTTCGCGTCATTTCTGTAGCTTGGCAGCATTTGCTTGCAGCCCTGCATTTCTGGTCAAAATAAATGATTCCCTAAATACAAGACAGAATTTAAAAGGTAAAAATAATTGGTTTGACGTTTTCTTCTGATTTCGATTTCAATATTCTATCGCCAAATTTTTGTGATGATGAAAGGTGTTTCAAGTTTGTGACCTGGAAGACTGATCAGTCACAGAAAAATATATTCCTATTTAATATAAAAGAATAATGATGGTAATTCTTAACAAAATGATTGCTTGTAGATGTCTTCAAAGTCTGTTATTAGTTCTTGTTTGGTCTGCAATTCCTGTTGTACGAGCAATACTGGGATACAAGTCTTCAATATCCAGGTAATTTAAATATCTTTTCTCTATACATAAGGATCCCACTCTAAAGCAAACTGAGAGAAATAGAGAGTATGTATATGAAAACTATAAATATTGATGGCATGTGTTCGTATTTTGCTGCAGGTTCCTAACCAGCTAAACAAGTAAATATACTGACAAAATAACCTTACCTGTTTAGTTTGCAGTTTTAAAAATTGGTGTATGTACTTACATTGACATGGAGCTCAATGATGAAATACTATTGTATAGACATTGTATAATTTAAGGCCTCATTTTGTAATTATAAACCTCAAAACTAAGAGAATAGTCCACTGTATTGCAAGCTGTGAAACTCAGGTGCCCTAGGGCAGCTGCCTTGGTTAGCACTGGATAACTTTGTATAGCAGTGTTGAGAGCAAAACATAAGCAATATAATAATAATAATTAGGTATATTTACTCTTGGAATACAATACAAAGATTGAGTAAATAAATATGAAATAACATAGGAGGCATTGCCTGTACATGGCCATAGATGTTGCAACTGTATTATTGAAATATGAATAGAGATACAACTAATCAACGATTTATTTGATCACATTTACTATTAATTTGTATACGTCTGGCATTGCCAAAGAAAAAATCCATTCTTTAAACTTTTTACTCCCAAAGTGTGGATCCGTTATGTCGTCAGGTAAATGTATATATATAATTTTGGACTTAAATAAAGGTATGATTGTTGGGTTATAGATTTATTTGGTCTAGGTACAGCTGTTCCTCTTAGTTTATGCCATGTGTGGTGATTATGTTTAATTTTTTGGTCGTTGATGAATTTGTGATAGTTCATTATAGCATGTAAGAGATAAAGCTGTTTTAAGTCATATACATGTGTATCTTTGTATAAGACATCAGTCTGATACAATTTTGGTTTGTTGAACATTGTTTTTAGAATCATTTTTTGAAAAATATCCAAATCATGAATATGAGTTGAGCATGTAACTCCCCATGCTAATATACTGTAGGTTAAAATGCGGTTCCATCAAGGTATGGTATAAGGTATGGAGATATTTTTCTTATAAATGTTTTTATATATTTAATTTCATACAATATATATATATCTAACTTTTTTAAAATATATGGAATATGAACATCCCAACGCAAGTGTGGATCCAGGAATAATACAAGATATTTTATATCTGATGCACTGTCAATTTCTGATTACGAGCCCCTTCCCACTTCAGTTGGCCCAACTATTGAAATCTTAGTTTTTTCTTATCAAACACAAATAATAAAAATGTAGCAGGGTTTTATAAGTTTAAAATATTAACAATGAATAATTTGATAATCTATAGTAGAAAGCACCAACTTTATCACTCCATAATCAAATTTGCAGCATAAGAATAACACATGTTGCAATTACAGCATATCAACCGATTTTCATTTCAATGTAAAATAAGTCTATAACGCATAGGTGGCTGTGAAAAATAAAAGCCATGACAATTGTTTTTATTAATCACACCTGTGAGAATAGTTTAAAATAGTTTTGGACAGTTAAGGTTTTCAAAAAGGTTATTAGTGAGAAAATTCGGTTACTGATAATTAAATCTTTTAATTCTGGGAAATCAAACTCAGAAATTGCAACTTGGTTAGACTTATCGCGGTACAGTGTGAGAAATATTGTTAGAAGATATAACGTAACTGGTTCAGTTAATATTTAGCCATGATATGTGAAAAAAAGGAATATCACACGACCGAAGAGCATTAAGAAGAATAATCGTGAAAAACAGGCGTGCCAATTATTTACAATTAAGTGCTCTGTGGAGTGACGCTGTTGGAAGGAGAATTTCGAGATCCGCAACTCATAGAGAGGCCCACAAACTGGGATTTAGCACTTGCAAGGTAAGTTTTCTTATAAAAAAAATGTGAAGTAAAAACCCTAAAGTTGCACAACTTGTTTATAGGCCAAAGAAAAGCCACTATTAACTCCACTGCAAAATAAAAATCGGCTTAGATGGGCTAAAGAACATAGACAATGGACACCTCAACAATGGTGTGCAATACAATGGAGTGATGAGGCCTGATTCGAAGTTTGTGTTGGTGACAGTCGCAATAGAGTTATTCGCAAAAAAAATTAAGCAATCCATGTTGACTGTCTGAAGAGTAAAGTGAAATTCCCAGCATCGTTTATGATCTGGGGCAGTATGTCATCAAAAGGAGTAGGAAAACTTCATTTTATTGATGGAAATGTGGATACAAACAAATATTTGTCAATTTTAGAAGAATCGCTTTTACCAGTGATGGAAGAATGTTTGACATCCGGCCAAGATTTTGTGTTTCAGCAAGATGGTGCAGCGTGCCATACCTCAAAAAAGGCTATAAAATGGATGGAAGAAAATAATGTACCACTTTTGAAATGAGTATCTAGCAGTCTAGATCTGTCACCTATTGAAACTTTGTGGCACGAGATGCAAAAGGTTCTACGACAACATCCTACTCGTACAATCACCAAACTGAGACAAAAGCTTCAAGAAATATGAGACTGTTTTACACCAAATTTTTGCCAAGACTTGGTTAACACTATGCCCCAAAGAATTTCAGCCGTAATAAAAAATAAAGGTGATGTTACCCAATGGTAATCTTTCAATTGTTACTTTGTTAACTTCGGGCATTTATTCGCACATTGTTAATTTGTTCAGATCAGTTATAGGTCTAAGTGATTTCAGATATGTATTTTTTACGACTAGAGTGTATATAAAGTGTTTTTGAGAAAATAAATTGTTTTAGGAAATAAATAGTTTCGTCATGTTTAGTTTATAAAGACATATTTTGGTACAAATCTTGAAGTGGGCCAACTGAAGTGGGAAGGGGCTCGTATTTACGATAAATGAGACATTTGTGTAATTTGGTAGATGTCTGGCATAGGAAGAAAATGGAAATAAATGGGTTTTAGAGTAATTCATGCTCAATTTTCTGCTATTATAGGCCTCTGGATAATTTTGAAAAAATAATTTTCCACTATACTTTTCAAATGAAACCAGTTATCACCTTTATAAAAAGCTGCTGTGTCATTTGCCAACACAGTCAATTTGAAATATATCATTTAAGTATATATTAAAAAGCAGTGGACCTAAAACGGTTCCCTGTGAGACGCCACATTTGATAAACATTTCGTTACTGAAAAATCTTGATACTTGAAGGGATTGCTGTCTGTTGGATACGTAATTTTCTAGTAATGAGTACACTTTTCCGCGAAAGCTAACTCACTCCAATGTGTCTAACAATAATTTATGGAATACTGTGTCGAAAGCTTTTCTTAGATCAACAAAAATACAAAGACAGGGAATTTTATTATCAAGATTGTTGGTGTATTTGATTAACAACATCAAATATTGCGTCTGATGTATAGGTTTTCACATAAAATCTGATATATGTATAGTGAGAAACTGAAACATTCTAACACATATTATTTTTTCAAATATTTTTGCGATATTAGAACTCACTAATATAGGCCTATAATAATTGTTAATGTCTGTTCGATCACCTGATTTATATATTGGTGTTACCATACCGTTTTTCAAAACGGAGGAGTATATACCTGATTAAAAACAAATTAATTATATATTTCAATGGTTCCGCTATATCTTTGCCTATAATTTTCAGATGCTCACTTTTAATCCCGTCAATCCTGGGCTTTTGGGATTTTTCAGGGACATAACTGTAGTGTATACTTCAAATGGTTCTACTCTGTCTAAAATATAACGAATTTAGCGATCTTTTAGGAACTTGTATTAAGGGTATATCTTTGTCAGTCAAGTCAGTCAGGAACTATTAGAATATATAGTACTGGCGAGTGGTTACATTTCAACAGAAACTATTGTCTAAGGACATATGTACCACTTTAAACGAAGTGCTTATGACATGTTTTCAAGGTAGTTGTCATATTATATTTTTTTCCACATGATTACACCCTGTACTTATTTTTTTAACTATCCATATTACAAATTTAATATCAAATGTATGATGCTAAATTAGTGTAAATGTAACTTAAAACAAAGCAATATTGTAAGCAATTGTTTTTCACAAACAATGAAATCTTATTTTTTCCCAAATAAACATGAATCCGCTTTTTTTAATGAGAAACGTTTTCTCAATAAACGTTTTTATATCTTACAGCACAATGAATTTACCGAAGATCTAGCATATCTGCTTTCCAAGCTGTTAAACAAGGATATAAAACAGGATCCATTGTCCATACAACTAATATGCAAGAAATGTTATAACATGGCCAAAGAGCTAGACGATTTACAGAATAGGGTGTTGAAAATCAAACATGAGATGCTTGGCAGCAGTGTTGAAAAGACGGAAATTGAAGATGAGGGCGAAGATAAGGCTACTCTTGTAGAAGGAAGTGAAAACACAGGTGAAGAAGAAACAGATGGGATTGCTAACAATGAAGATGGTTTGCCAAAGAAGATACTATTCATTCCATCTTCTGATGATGATTCAACACAGGCAAGTTCAGATGTTTAAAAATCCCTGCATCCTGAACTTATTCATGTATTGTGCATTCTGAAGTTGGAGAACAGAAATACTATTTTATCTATTTTCTAATCAAATGCGCCTCCTATCGTTGCAATTACTATTTTGTAAAGAATTTAGGAATAAATACCTGGAAGTCCAATGATTTGATTGCTGTACATGTTTGTATGAATCATTAAACCAGTAAAATCAAGTGTATTTTCTACTAAAACTTCTATACAGGTGTCATCAGAAAAACAACTAGGAGACTTGCAATTCGAACTGGTTGAGATTAAAAACAGTAAAGATATTGCTCCCAGTGAGTCAGAGGAACAAGAAAAAGAACATGAAGAAGACATGGATGTGGATACTGAAGCAAATTTCCACAGTTTCACAGATGACAATATTTTAGATCACTCCTCGGATGTAGAATATGAAACTGGTACCACTGTTCTTACAACAGATGATCTAAGCAAGCCAACTATCAGACTAACAGACAAAAATATTGCAGGTATGCCAAACTAATAAATAGAATTTAACGAATCATGCTATGTTATTAAATAAACATTATAAAATCTATTCAGAAAATGTCATTTAAAAATTTAATACTCTTGTCCTCAGCACCATCAGGGTGGCAAGCACCAACAGAGAGTATTCAAAACTAAATTTAGTATGTTCCTGAAAATATATGCAGTTGACGACTCTAGTTGTTACATGTATGAATGTAGTAGAATTTCTCAATTTTATACATTTTGAGCAACATATTATTTTAGTTTTGAATTCTTGTTGTTGTTAACGCCCGCCACTCTTAATGTTTGTTTTGTAGTTTTGTTGCTGTTACACTTGTGGCTCATATATCACATATATGTTGCAGTCGATAATTTTGATCTTTTGGTGAATTTTACAACATTTTTATTTGATCTACATTTCAGTAGACGGTGGTATTAAAGTGAAAACAGAACCAAGTGCCGGGGAAGAACAACCTCAGCAACAAATTTTGACAACTGTGACATCGAGTTTGAAACCAAATATACTAAAAAAGAAGGTAATATCAGGAACTATAACAGCTAAGTTTAGGATACTATTTTTTTATACCGAAGTAGCCGCGCAGGCAGAAACCTAAATGCCGGGGCACTGCGGCTGCTATGATGATCCCAAAGAAATTTTATTAATACGATTTTTGAACTGCCTGAGGTTAGTAGAACCGAGAAAAGCTTTCTCTGGTAGATTGTTCCACAATCTCGACGCCCTCGGGACAAAGGGGCGGTATCGACAAGTTCTGGATGCACGAAGTTCGACACGATTAGGATGGGAGGCCAAAGTCTGTCTGGCAGGCATATCGCGCGGCGGCATCATAGAAGAGAGCTCTGAGGAGCAAAGCTGGTTGGTGTAGCGGTTAAAAAGAGCTAGATCGCCGACGGCCCGCCGGTGCGAAAGGGTCCCAAGACTGTCTGTTAGAGACGAATCGTCGATCAGCCGGACCGCCCTCCTCTGGACAGCATCGAGCATAAATAATGTAGTCGGGCGGCAGCACCCAAAACGTGTGAGCATTACTCGAGGCTAGGCCTTATCTGGGCCTTGTATAGAGTGAGAAGGTCATGCAGTGAAAAATACTTCTTACCCCTAAGCACACAGACTAGCTTTTTCCTGGTAGCTGCCGCTATTGACAAGATGTGTTTGTGCCAGATCAGGTCCTCGGTGATCTGGACTCCGACCAGCCGAAATGAATGGCTCTTTGGCAGAACTCGGCCATCCATCAAAACCAGATGAGCGCTAGGACGCTTTTTGTTTGTCAAAGTACAGTACTGTATTTTGGAAGCATTAAACTGTACAAGATTGTTGCGTCCCTAAGCAGTGATAACCTACAGGTCTCTCGCCAGAGAAGAAGTCGTCGCTAGTCTTTTTTTTCCAGCTCAGCGGCAGAGATCGGCTTGTCACTCTGAATTCCTGCATGTAGAGTGCTGTCATCAGCGAATCTGTGGGTTGGGTTGATCGTGCAGGAAAGGAGGTGGTTGATATGTAAGATGAACAGTGTCGGAGCCATGACTGATCCCTGGGGAACGCCCGCGTTGACGTTGTGGGATGGAGGCGAGAACCCGTCAATTACGACGGATATCTTGCGGCCAGAGATAAAGTCAGCCACCCATCTGCAAAGATTTTCTGGGAGACCATAGGTTGGAAGTTTGCTTGAGAGGGCAGCGTGCCACAGCTGGTCGAATGTTTTCGTGATGTCAAGAGCAACGACATAAGGCTGGACGAGTTTGCTCCACAATTGCGTGAAGTAAGCTAGGAGGTCGCTTGTGGATTGCTTGTGCCGGAAATCATATTGCCTGTCGCTAATCAAGTTGTGACGTTCGAGGTAGTCCAGAAGCTCGCGATTTATGCACCTCTCCATCACATTACTTATAACAGAAAGCAGAGCTATAGGCCTGTAGTTGTAAGGGTCGATCCTAGATCATCTTTTTTTTGGGGGATGGGTTGGACACGAGCAAATTTCCAGTTTTCTGGGAAGGTGCCGAATTCATAAGATATCTGGAAGAGACGCGAAAGAACTGGAGCAACCTCCTCTGCACACCTCTTCAGTACAATTGCAGGAATCAAGTCCGGACCAGAAGCTTTGTTGGGGGGCGTCCATGGTGGAGTTGGCAGCAAAGATCTTGGCAAGCACTTCCGCCTTAGACTTTGAGTCGGTTACAATCGTTCCATCCTGACACGTAAGTGGTGGAAGGCTACTGTATGAGAAGTTATTTTCAATCTGCTTGGCCAGCGTCCAGAAAGACCGCTTGTCATTGCGATGCGACATCCTGAGCCTAACTTTCATATCGTGCTGGTGTTTGCCATTGCGAACCACTTCGTTATATTTGTTTCTGGACTCGACGTCGGCTTTTTCTGTGTGCCTTGATCTTATGCTGGCGAGCAGTGTCACACGATTTGTTAAACCAGCCGTTGGAGCCTGGTTTAGGCACTTTTACTGTGTGAGGGATGTATTCCTCCATTCCGACGTGGATAATTTCGGTTATAGAAGAACGGACAGCCGACGCATGCGGGTCAGTGAAGTCAAATGAAAGGTAGAGAAGAAGTCTCTGAGCCCCTCCCAGTCAGCATGTCCGTAATGCCAAATTTTGCGGCCTGTACGAGTTTCTGCTGCCACAGCGAGTTCCGAAACCTAACCCCCACAACACCGTGGTCTGAGGTACCCAGGGGGGACAGGACAGCAGTGCTGTAAGGGACAGGATGCGTGGTTAGAAAGAGATCCAGCAGGTTACTGGCATGTGACGAGACGCGGGGAAAAAAAGTTGGGTTTGTCACCAGCTGGGTCAGCCCTTGAGTAAAAGAGAACTCTTCAACTACTCGACCTGCTGCATCGACCTTGTTTGAGCCCGACCAAAGCTCATTATGGGTGTTGAAATCACCGAGAAGAACTACCTCTGAAGCTGGGTGATTGATGTTCAGGAAGCAGATCTTGACGGCGAGGTATTGAAGTAGGTCATCCCAGTTATGGTCCGAGGGAGAGCGATAAAGCCAGCAAATAAATTTGGGGGATGTTTTGGAGTGGACTATGCCGCTTTAAACGTACGGTTTTTCCGATGGTTGCACCAATATGATTAGAAAAAAATATTAGCCTGGATGTCTAGGGGGGCATATATGATCGAAGCTGATGCGATAAAAAAAGGTAGAAATTAAGCGTTTTACAATAGAACGGTAGCCATAGGATCAAAACAGCAGATCTACCTTAAAAGTGGTAGATCAAATATACATTTTATTGGCTGATTGCTTTGGCAGTAAATATGGAGGGCTTAAATGAGTTCCGTTTGATCGTACTAGTAAACGTATCTTCCAACACCCGAGTGAAAAACCGAGTGTAAGCTGCGTCCATAAAAGATAGATGTATTTTTTCTAACAGGAAAATACCTAATTACATATATGTGCAGTTGGTTAAGTCAAATATTTTGAAATATAGATTGTCATCTTGCTCTCAAGAAATATATCTGATTGGATTGCAGGTGGTTCATAAGGCACAACAAAACGTGACACTGCTGACTAGCCCGCCTTCGAAACCAAACAAATTCGATGATGCCGCCGAAAATGTAGTGAGCAAAGAGGGAGAGTACTATACCTGTCTGATGTGCGATCCTGATCAGACTGTTGTTAGAGATACCAAAGCGATTACAGCACATACAAAGCAAACGCATGATGTCAGGATATATATTTGCGACGTCTGTGGTGCGGTAAGAGAACAATTTCCAATAATTTTTTTCATGGTATTGTGTTATGGTTGCAGCTCAACATTAAATCATCAAGGTTCGGAGTATACTTGATTGTTAGATTTTGTCAGTCAGTTTGTGGAGTAACCGACGTTCTTTGATTTTGTATTCTTTCTTAACCACTCCAATACAACATGTACTGTGGTAAAAAGTTAAGACCATCTTCAATATAAGACATTACATATTTATCTATTATATTGGATTGGCAGAGAAAAAGCGATGGATCCATCGATAACGAAACACAGAGGATCGTAAAAATGACCACAGTAAGAGTTTCTATTGTTTCGTTTCGTTCAATGGAGTCCACGTAGGTCCGACTGTCTTAAATCGAACTAAAACATACCTAGTTAAAATCGGAACAGAAGCTTATGCACTAATAATATAGCTTTCGTTCGTCCGGCCAACCTTGTTTCGTGCTATTTAGCTACTCTTCATCATGGTGTAGGCATGGTCTCGGTGAACAAGAAACGAAAGCAATTGAGCAACTCTACTCAGTTCAGAACTTTAGAACGTATTTGTGCTTCATATAGCATCGAAATAAATATAAACATGGAAAGCTACGAGGGACACTAGGAAAGAAATCTACATAGCCCTGAAAAAAAAATCAATCGAAACTTGCAAGCATAATATGTCAAATGGTGTATTGTGTTCCAACCTTACTAACAAAATTTGAGTTAATATTGATAATTAGTTTCCAATTTATAGAGTGAGTTGTGAGGAAAAATTAGTAGCTTACATTTAGCAGTGTCATAAAATTTCTAACAAAGGATGGTCAAATCCGAAAACAATTCTTTAGAGAATGTTTGCCGTCGGCGATGCATGTTAGAAATGCCAGAAAGTCATGAGGAAACATCCACCAACGATTCAGACTTTTTGGTACAAATTGTGACGGGCGACGATGGATGCATCATTGGTATTCTGAGTCAAAACAGAAGCCTAGCGGTCATAAAGGGCCTGCATCCCCCAAAAAGGCACGGACGCAACCCTCTGCTGGAAAATTGATGGAAACTATTTCAGGGGCATCTTTCTCATTGAATATAATATATGGCAAAAGGTAGAACAATAAATGCGGATGTCTATGAGAGCACGGTGAAAAAATTCTTGAAGCAATTAACCAGAAAAAAAAGATTTTTCCAATCGAGGTGTGTTTCTGCTGCATGACAATGCGACCATGTTTAAGGCTGCCAAAATTAGACGAATTAGCAGGAATGTAGCTTCGTTGAGATAGACTATGCTCCCTATAGTCCGGACTATAGAGTATAAGTTTACTGGAGTAGAAATAGCGCAAGTGCATTGAAATAGGGGCGGATGATATTGAAAAACAAAATTATCATAAATATCGTACTTTATTTGTTTCATGGCCAGGTAGATTTCTTTTCTGAATCTGTTTGATTAAGTACATGATTCTTATTTGTAGGTATTTAGAAAGCGAACTCAAATGTCAGCACACCTGGACGAGCATGTGGCAGCTGACGAAGGCGATTTTCAGTGCGAAGTGTGTAACAGGATTTTTAGCAATTTGCGGTTGTTTCGGATACACCGGCGGATGCACTTTCCACAGAACAAGGCCTGGGAATGTACTACTTGCGGCAAGAAGTATAGTAGTAAAAATTTGCTGGACGAGCACATCAATACCCATTTAGGTAAGTGAGGACGCGTGTTTCCAACATCATTTTAGGCGTGGGCCTGTGGCCTATTCTTTCCCAATGATGTATACTTAGATGTGGACCAATATTTCCAATATGTTTTCATTTATCGTTGTTTCGAATGTCGTTCATTTTGTTGGCCAACTTTCAAGTGTCTCTCGGAATGACACCTATTTCATAACTTGTTGTATAAATATCTAGTATTTTGGCACCTTTTTTTACAGGTTTGAGACCATATGTGTGTACAACTTGTGGTAAGGATTTTGCCAGTAAATATACCTTTAAGGCACACGAGAAGACTCACGAAGTTAGACCACGGCCTTACAAGTGCAACCAGTGTGCGAAATCCTTTTTGAGTCAACAGAACTTAACACAGCACGAAAGGACGCATTTGGGTGTAAAGGTAAGCAAGTATTTGTACACTTGAATTTCAGGGGCATTGTACAGGATTTTTATGTTGAGTGTGACCAAATTTTAATCAAAAGGGTTGTATTGTATTGTTGATAGGAGTCATTCCGGAAAGTATATCTTTGGATGATTTACTTATAAGGGACCAATACTGATTGTGATATGCTCCATTACATGCCCAAAGAGAAACCTTAGTGGGGGTCTGTCTAGACAGAATTGCATTTCTAGAAGATCAAATTACCTGTTTGCATCCATAATATCAGTATACCAACAGAAAACCCATTTAAATCCTCTGTATTTCCCGCTGAATTTTTTGTCTGTATACTGATAGAACCTGACCGTATATTTCATGTCAAAGTGTTTACGGAAGAGGAAAAGGTTATTTTCTCGCATCCGATGGGCCTAACATTCATTGCAGAAGTTGGGTCACATCTAAAGGCAGAGCATGGTAAGCTTACGTTACATCACGTTACGAATTATTTATAACATTTTTGGCTCTAAATTTTGTCAGATATTTGGAGGGCAAGTTTGGCCTCTTGTTATTCATAGAAAAACGTGAAAACACACAAATTCCCTTTCCTTCGGGATACTTACGGATACATCTGCACCCCTATTTCGTAATTGTAAACTGAAAGTGATGGCGATTATCAGACAGTTAACCTGCTGTGTAATAAAAAATGTGGGCCTGAGTAGGATTTTGTACCGTAATGTCAAAAGTCAACAGTCTAGTAGTTGAACTGGACATACGAGTACAGCTGCTTTGCTCATCTGATGATGTAAACGGCCACGGTTGACGAGATAATCAATCACCTTTTCAGTGGCTGTGATAACATGGCGTTTGTACTGCCTTACTATAGCCTAGAATGCTTGTCGACGGCCATACGCTTTATTTTTATGACATTGTTTTAGGAATATGCCTGCCACCTGTGCGACAAGACCTTCGGCTCGGCCCATAACCTGGAAGTGCACTCGATCGTGCACACTGGCTACAAGCCGTTCGTGTGCGGAGTGTGCGACAAGGCGTTCGCCCGTAAAGCGGAGATTCGCGACCACGAACGCACACACACTGGCGAACGGCCATACCAGTGCGAGTTCTGTGGCGCCACCTTTAGTCAGAGGTCCAACTTGCAGAGCCATAAGAGAGCCACGCACTATGATGACAAGAGATACAGGTCAGGATTTATTAGATACATTTAGAACTGAGATTTAATAAAGTCCTCGACATGCTTGTCTGGATTTTAGGAAATAGTTTCACGTGAAAATTTGTCCAGAAATACACGAATGTACTTGTCCTCTAGTGTACTCGATGCAATAGGGAAGTCCGCAGTTCCATCCTAGGAAGTGTTCATTTTCCACCACAAAACAACTACCGAGCGTGATAAAATAAATGTAACCTCGAGATCTAGCTCATCTTAAAGAAGCGATATGCCATAGAACAATCGTGTTGTCCATGTTAGATAATAGACCATATTTACGTACAGGTCGGCAAATCCAGCTTGAGCCGCGATATGCGCAGAAAACAGAGAGGGACGGTGGATGTCTGAGAGAAACGGTAATAGCCGACGGATATAGAAGCACAGTCGGCGCGGCAAGTTCAGTTACAGCGTGCCAATTTCTGTTATTTCATTTAATTTGAGGCTACCTATTTTACGATTACAATTCGCCCTTCATAGGCAACCCCTTGACTTCGCTTACCAACTACACTGAGAGAAATTTATGAAGGACATACGAATTTGGCATTTCACTAGAACTTCACGGAAAAAATGTTGGAATGCAATTCTTTCATTAAGGGATTGATTGATTAGCTAATTGGTTGATGGTCGCATATACATTGAATCTAGCTGAATAAGGAGGATAACCCTTCATAAAAAACGTGCCTCAGCTCTTCTGAGCCTAATGTTTAGATCTTTTCAGAAAGCAGTAAATTGTGTACAAGCATGTTGAAACCCTATATCTTTCATAATGTCCCACAATTTATGAGATATTCCTTGCTCTAAGCATAATTTCTAAAATAAGGAAAGAAATATTGATTCTACCTGAAAAACATAATACAAAAAAGCTTCAGGTGGGGGTTTTAAACCCTAAAAATTCTCGAAAATTTTAAAATGAATCAACAGTTTACTATCCAAACTATAAGCACCTTTAGAGAATTTTACGCATATCTCGCAGGAATGAATTCGCAAACACATTTATCATCATCAGCCTCAAAGATTGATGTACGTCTTATCAGAATTGGTTTCATACACTATAGAGTCTCCTACTGATTCTACACCCAAAATTCTGCTATCTTCCTCTTCTCCTTCTGAATCTTCATCTCCAGTTTCCAAAAAAGCACTATCACTGTCAGTTTGATTTAAATTGTTAACGAATTCATCCACAACTCTATCAACCGCGGGCTCGCGTTCTATACATTCTTTTTTAAGCTTCTTTGTATGCTCGCATCTCGTTTTCCACTCATCACTCCCAAATGTATTAAAAAACTCATCGCAGTGTTTTGAAACAGCAGAAAATTTAAAATCGATAATGAGACATGCTACGTGAGATTTCATTGCTGCCCATACGAGTTCCAAAGGGTTCCAGTCGGGGTGATAGGGTGGCAATCTTAATACATCGTGCCCAGCATCATGCAGAATTGTATCTATTGCAAGTTTTATCAAATTATACAGTTCTGGCTTAAGCATGTCTTCCGTAAAAAAGATATTTCTCTGACGAAGCCAGATCATCATTTCTGCTTTGGTTGTTGAGGAAGTTGGGCTTTTTTCTGTTCGTTTATTATGATACGGTGCGTTGTCTATAACAACCACGCTTTTGGGAGGTAGGTTTGAAACTGACTTTTCTTCCAACCACTTTTTATAATTCTCAAAATTCATCTCATTATGGTAATCGCCTGTACTACACGTATATTTCCATCTCACATACGCAATAATAATAATAATAATAATAATAATAATAATAATAATAATAATAATATCGTAATTTCTTGTAATCGTAATTATATTTACTTTGTGTAAAGGAACAGCTACTCCAATTTCAGCTTCATTCTGTATGAATCTCAATACCGAGGCAACAATTTCTCGGCTTTGACCACTTAAAACTTTATTTGCAACTTTACTCTCAATTTTTCAGAACCTTCGAGTATAGATTAAAACAACCTATAGCTAACGCAATTAAAATTTTTACTGGAGTTGTACCTACGATGCTGCCTCGATCGTTGCCAGTTTGTACTGGGGTGTCCCCACTACATTCCGCCGTGTCTACCGCGCATCTGACCGTGGGAGACCAAGCTAGATTTGTTAAACTGTATAATTGAATGCTTTCATCGTATCATTACAAGGATTATACATCAGGGTATTAATGGTGGGGTCCAGCCATTGGCTAATCTAATCAACCAGTGTCTTATATGAATAATGAAACAAAGTCTAAATAAAGTGTAACATCTGAAACTTGTCATGTGGTTTTCATGCTGATAATCCTCCATGTTTTGTCTGACAGAAACAAAGCACATATATGTTTAAAATTCCTCTTGATTGTACGACGTTTTGGTCTCAACAGGGACCTTTTTCAAGTATTACAAAAGGTTCAGTGTCCTAATATTGCATGATGTCTGACATTTAGCGGCGATATCGGATGAAGTTTGAATCTTTTGTTGTCCTGAGGAAGAAATTCATTATAATTTGAACTGTTACTTTTCAACGTCTTTCCATTTGGTCACATTCCTGACCTCCTAATAAAGGTCAGGATGTCCTAACATTCCGCTGAATAAGCAACTTCACCAACAAATTCCATGGCCCCGGATATCTCAGCCCTTAGACCGCAATAGCCCAGAAAGTGAAACGGTGTTTCGTCATCCTTCTAGCACTTGGGGCATGTCGGTTTCTTTCCACCTTTCAAAGTGATAAGTGCCTGTTCAGTCTGTAGTGGCTGGTGAGAACCCTCCACCAAAAGGTTGAGTGATTTTCTACCCGTTTGTCAGGGCCCGCTACGTACCTCTTGGAATATCTGAGGCCATCTCTCTCTGTCCATGCTCTTTCCAGGTACCTAAATACCTATTCATTCAGGGCCATGTTGACCTGTCCCCTGCTTATGCCTAGCTCGGAGTCGGGACCAAAGCAAGTGCAAGATATTAAATCAAATCTTCGAACAGACCCCCTTCTTGGGTTTGACAGTAACCTAACCTATTGAAGCAGCCTGTGAGAACATTTTCTGGTGTAACATATTGGCAACGTGGCAGATGGCACGACCTTCTGCGTCACCGTTACTAGGCAATGTGATGTCGACCTTCGCTATTCAGACGGCTTCTATCTCTTTCCAACATGTTTTGATGCACGCTTCTCGCGCTTCTCTCTCGTACACATTAAACTCAGCCGTCAGAAAAATTTGGTTTTCCTGTTATGTAATCTGCCTCTGTTCGCGAACGTATGTTTGTGTAAGCTCAGACATACGGTCTTTAGCTTCGACTCGACACCTCGAAAATTTTCTCACTTACATATGAGTACTCCTAATCAATGCTTGACACTGTCAGTGACAACCAAATTGGAAATCGAGTACCATTTTGCGTTTACCTTTTATTGATATTCGTAATATAAAACATAGCAGTACATGATCTGACGGATAATATCAGTAATGGTCCTTGATTAATCAATTCACATATGCAACTTAGGGATATACTTCTTCTTTTTAAATCCGCAAAAGCAACAATATCATGGAATTGAACTAGATTTATAAATAGACATATTGTATTTTTAACATAACCTCTATTTTGTTTCAGATGCATAGAATGTGGTAAAGGATTTAAACGAAGACGCTTATTAGATTATCACGTTAAAGCAGTGCATACAGGTGAGATTTTACTTTTTACAGCTTAGTTTTGCCACAGCTTAGATAACAATCAGCTAAGATTCTCTCCTGTCAGTGTCAAAGATAAAAGAGGTTTTAGTGTTCCATGCTCTGCAGTCCCAGTCGATGTTGCTGCCAGTGGCAGTAGATATTCTTTGCAATCCTGAAAACTTTGATACATATTCCTATATCGTCGCCTTAGTAAGAAAACCGCGTAACTCCACGTTTGGGGCATATTGACCTTTTAGCGCCATCTAATAAAAAAACATCAAACCTAACTAGTGTGAAATCCACGTAACTGCCACAACAATATTTCCCGCGTCAAAACTACATCAAGAAAATGACGTATGTCCCTGTGTTAAATTTTGGTTAAGAAATCCGCGTAACTCCCAGTTTTCGCATAGTTCTAGCGTGTATGCAGGTGCTTGCAAGTTTGGTGAAAGTTTAGTGAAAAAAACAAATACGTTTTGAAGTAAAAAAACTAATTTAATATAAAGGTAAGGTTGTTATGGTACTTTTAAGAGTTTGATTGATTTAAAAAATGTATTATATTTGTTTCAATTATAACTTTTTTACCGGCTATGGACATACGCGCTTTTCCAACTTTAATTAAATGTGTTTATTATGTACTTAAGCATTTTTCCGTTCTTTTTTCGTACCTATAACTTCTTAGTCCTAGTTATTTTTCAATTTAAAGTCTGATGAGTAAATATGTCTCAGAACAAAAACAATACCTAGTTAAATTAGTTACTTTTAATTTTAGGATGTCGTCTCGCACAAAACTTATAATGAAGTTGAGTAACCAACAAGCAAGCCATTCTTGTGTGGATATTGTTGAATACGAGGTTGAAAAAGATGGAATTTTGTCCCCAATTCACGCACAACCATCTAGTAAAATAAATGAAACCCTTGTAAATAGTAATGAGGTTCCAGCACCGAAGATTTCAACCAGTTTTGATCATATAGAATTTCCGGTAGACTTAAACGATTCTGCTAGCATAAACAATGATAACTCCACCAGTTTTAACCATTTAGAAGTGGCGACAGGCTTAAACGGTGCTAGTATTTCGACCGATTTTGACCATTTTGACTTGCAGACAGATTTAAATGATGCCATTAGCATGAACAATGAACTGGACAATCCAGAGATTCTAGGAACGGAGCAAGACGAAGATAACACCAATAATACTATCACGAATATTTCTTCTGAACACGACGACGGCGCCGCCGATGACTTGGATATTTCTTACGTTCCTGAGGAAAACGATTCTGATAGCAGTAACTCTGCCAATGAATCATGAAACTACAATATCAATAAATATAAACGTTTAAGAGGTCAGCCTTACCAAGGTAAAAAAGAAATTACCGGTACATGGAATTACAACATTAACAAACCAGGTATGTACATAGTGTTATGCAAAAACATAAAAAAATAAAGTTTTTTTTTTGTTTTAGGGAAGTTCTTGGAAAATCCATGCAACTGTTCTCTTAGTAGAAAAAAATCTGCAATTCAGTGTCAAAAAATGACGGAAGAAAACCGTTTAAAAATTTTTCAAAAATTTTGGAATACAATGACTTGGAATGAAAGAAAATTGAAGGTACAGGCTCTAGTGCATTGCGACAATGTTAAAAGAAGGAGAGGAGAACTTGAAGTGTCTAAAAGAAAGTATTCTATGAAATATTTTTTACAAGTGGATTTGGAAAGAATTAGAGTGTGTAAACGGATGTTTGGTAGTACACTAGGTTTAACAGAAACACTGATATTGTCTTGGATAAAAGAATTTAATAGCGAGCCTGATGACCACCAGAGAAGCAGCAAAAGTAAAACAAGAAGGGCGAAATTTGCGGAAAAAAATACGGCTGTGTATCAGTTTTTACAATCATTACCAAAAATGGAAAGCCATTATTGTAGATCTTCCTCGAAAAAATTATATCTTGAGCCACTTTGGCGTTCAAATGCAGCACTCTATAATTTTTTGAAAAGAGAATATTGCGGCGAACGTAATCTAGAGCCTCCATCCATAGCAACATTCATGAAGATATTTGAAGAGCTGAAGTTGTCACTCTACATACCCAAAAAAGATCTGTGCGACGTGTGCAAGGCATACAAAACGAAGAACTTATCTGAAGATAAGTATAACCTACACCAAACTTTAAAGCTAGAAGCACGTCAAGAAAAGGAAAAAGACAAATCTACCAGCGATGTTACAGTAAACGTGTATGCAATGGATTTACAAAGCGTGTTGTTAGCTCCCAAATCGACAGTCGCTGCAATGTACTACAAAACCAAACTGGTAGTACACAACTTCACTATTTATAACCTGAAATCCAAAGAAGGATTTTGTTTCCTGTGGAATGAAAGCGAAGGGCCTTGACTGCAAACGAATTTTCCAGCATAATTTCTGTTTTTGTTGAACAAGAGATAAGAAAGAATGAAGGTTTACGTGAAATGATTTTTTTTAGTGGTGGTTGCACGGGTCAAAACCGCAACTCAACATTGGCTAACGCATTTGTAAACTTAGCTGCACAGCATAAAATCGTGTTGACTCAAAAGTATTTGTTCAAAGGTCATACTCAGATGGAGGTGGACTCGATGCATGCAACCATTGAAAGACAGGTTAGAAATCGGAAAATAAACCTTCCCGCCGATTATGCTTACTACTGCCAAAAGGCAAGATCAATTCCATCTCCATATAATGTCAAATATCTCACTCATTCATTCTTTTAAAAAATGGATACTATAAAATTTTATACTTCTATACGTCCAGGTAGGGTCGCTGGCGACCCCGTTGTCACTGACATAAAGGCTCTAAGGTACTTACCAAACAGTGAAATCCAATTCAAGATAAGGCATACAGATGCTTGGTGTACATTAAACCAAAGAATGAATAAAAAAATGGCTCCGTGCAAGTTTGACGATTTGCCATCTTTATACACAGAACCCAGAAAAATTAAAAAGGAGAAATATGAGCACCTCCAAATTCTGAAATCAGGACTTCTAGAAGATTATCATCAATTTTATGAAGAACTTCCGCATGAATAGGTTTTTTTGTAAAGTTACTGTAAGATTACTTTTTCGTTTAAACGTTATGAATTTCTTTACTGGTTTTAAAATACGTATTCTGTTTAATATAAAATAAGTTTTGTGTAGTTACCTAGTATTTATTTTCTTTTGTGAAAACCATGTATCTCCAATTATTTTACAATTTTTCATAAGAAAGTAGCGTAACTCCTTTTTAAATCATTACAATCACATAATTTCTATATTTTTACCCGAAATGTTAAATCTAATGTATTTTTCTATATTCATGCAAAATTCAAAAATATTTTATCACTGTTGTAACTCTCACAAAACGTTTTTTCCTTCTGTAAAATTTACTAAAATGGAGTTACGCGGTTTTCTTACTAAGGCGACGATATGATCTGGTAGAGTTTGTAATAACCAATAATAAAGAGCAATTCTTACAAAAAGAAGAGTGTTGATGAAAATTTACTTATGAAAAATATCTATAACTAAAAGCAATCCAAGAGCTCCATGCCGCCCTTCATTTCTAAATCTTGAAGTGACTTCGTATCATTGTTCATTTTAGACATATTAGAAATAGCAATTCTTATTTTTAAAAATAAATCTAAATTTTGAATCATTAAATATAAGTTCCGATATTAGACGAAAACAAGATCTTGAATACCTGAATCAAGTTTACTCTTCTCGTGTTTCCCTGATGCTACCAAAAGAACTAACAATTTAAAGATATTCCGCCGTAAACTGAAAAACTTTCTAATATGTCAACCATATTAGTCCATGTGTGACTTCTATAATTCATTTACTTAATATCCACGTACATAGAAAATCACTGGCGGATTTTGAGGGGAGGCGCCCCCTCCCCTTGACGTCTGACATTTGCTTTTGCAATCTAACACCATTGTGTTATTTTCTGTCACATAATAGTGATAGAGGCATACTAACTATCAGTTATAGCTATAGGAACTGAGCATTATGATTGTTTGGTATTCCAAATGGTGTCCCTCTTTGACATCACTTGTTTACAGCACAACTCTTACGATTTATACGTATATACGAGTATTGTGACTTGTGACAAATCTAAGTCTAGGTAATATATTAGCTATATAGATTCCACTAAAAAGTAATTTATGTTCTGTTTGTTGCTCAATAGTAATTTGAAAAGTGTGTAAAGCGTGACTGATTTTGTTCGGGGTTGGTGTTGCAGCGAAGCACTGTGTTAGATGTATGCCTAAATTGGAAACAGACATTTATGAGATTTGTATAACGGTGCGCCTGTGGCCTGTCTAGAAACTGCGTCGATCGATGCTCAAAATCAATACCACACGTCCCGCATCTCTTCTCGCGTATGTGTCTATTTATGTTGCTATATTGAATTCGTTTAAATCACAGAGCTGCTGCACTATACGTGAATATATACAGCCCTGTATTCCTGTACTTGTTTAGTACAAACGTACATTATCAAAATAATTACGATCTAACAGATATAGTTTTTTTCAAGGATTTCCAACATTTCTACATGCGATCAACACCGGTTCAACTGAGAAAACAACTATGCCGTAAATCTAAGTTCGACAACGAAAGTCTGAAAATACCTCAACCCCTACTGAGAGGGGCCGCGGCAAATTCTTGTTCCGGAAGTTGTTGTATACAACTTCTTCCTGTACAAGTGATTGTACACGCGTTAAGGAATACCACAGTACCGATTGCCGGGTGGTGGTATAAGTCCGCCAATGGGCCACTTTAGGTCTATTTAATATCATTAACACGCAAAAAGAAGGTGGTAGACAAGGACCAGTCGACCGAGGCGGTACCACCCTATAGGTTTTCCCAGGGTTTCTTATAAATGTCCGCATGTTTCCACACGGGGCGAAGACCTGATGGAGTTTCTTGGGGCATCGAACCTTGAGGTTCTGAATGTCGGTAACATGCCCACTTTCAGCAATAGTGTAAGAGAAGAGGTTATCGACGTAACACTGAGCACGCTTAACTTAGCTCAGGACATCAGGGACTGGAAAGTGTCTCTAACACCCTCTCTATCGGATCACAGGTATATACTGTTCAAGACTGATGGAGAGATTCCGGATAAATATGCTCGGAATCCCAGGCATACTAGATGGGGGTCCTTTAGGGCAGACATTGACAGTAAGCTTGGAGCGGTCCCATACAGGCTTAGCAGGGGCTCTGACATAGAAGCAGCTGTCGAGTCTCTGAGCAGGGACTTGACGGCTGCATATGAGGAAAACTGCCCGTTACGCAAAGTACAAGGTAAGGGCAAGGCAACCTTCTGGACCAAAGATTTAGAGGATAGAAAACGAGCGGTGCACAAACTTCTTAGCAGAGTTAAGCACAGGAGAGGTTCTCCTCTATGGGAAGAATACAAAAAGGCATTGCAGGAGTACAAAAAGGAGATTAGAAGGGCCTCCAGAGAATCCTGGAGGCACTTCTGTCAGTCCATAAATGACATTCCTGCTACTGCAAGAATACACAGAGTCCTATGCAAAGACATTAAAGCAAGATTGGGATCTCTGCATGATCCCTCGGGGGGGAACACTACTTCCGAGGAAGATACTCTGAGGCTTCTGATGGATACGCACTTTCCCGGTTTCACAGTAGCGCGATCAATCACAGAGTGCATGCAGTTGCGCAGGCCCTCAAGGGAGGACTGGCGCACGGCAAGGGAGATTGTCACCTTCGAAAGGACGGTATGGGCAGTAGATTCGTTTGCCCCATACAAAAGTCCAGGTCTGGACGGCGTATTTCCGGCCATGTTACAGCAGGGACGGATTTCGGTTGTTCCTTACCTGTTGAAGGTGTTTCGAGCATGTGTGGCCACGGGCTTCACACCTAGAAGCTGGCGGCAGGCTAAAGTGGTATTCATTCCTAAACCGGGCAGAGATAGATATACTGGCCCGAAGGATTTTCGACCGATTACTCTTTCATCTTTTGTGCTTAAGACCCTGGAAAGGATAGTTGATAGATACCTAAGGGATGGCCCACTGGAAAGGTGTGTCATTCATGCAAATCAGTTTGCATACCAAGCTGGAAAATCGACTGATCTGGCCTTACACAATCTGGTCGGGAGGCTGGAGAAGACTCTAGATCAGCGAGAAGTGGCACTCGTGGCCTTCTTAGATATTGAAGGTGCATTTAATTGCACCACAACCGACTCTATCAGACAGGCCTTGGTTAGACACGGGGTTGGATCAATCCTAATAGATTGGGTCCTCTCTACTCTGGAGGGTTGGGTAACAACAGCTATGCTGAATAACGTAAGCTGCAGCGTGAACGTAGCTAGAGGCTGCCCTCAGGGCGGAGTTCTGTCACCCCTACTGTGGTGTATCGTGGTGAACGAACTGCTCGTTAGGCTCAGCAGTATGGGTGTCTACGCGCAAGCCTATGCTGATGACGTAAGCATAGTGGTTAGGGGGCGTTTCTGTAGAACAGTCTCGGAAATTATGCAGGGCGCTCTGCGCTCCGTGGAATCGTGGTGTAGGGAAGTCGATCTTTCTGTTAATGCTGAAAAGACCGAGCTGATCCTATTCACTAGGAGAAGAAGGCTTGACGGACTGGTCATGCCTACCTTCTTTGGGACTAGATTAGTTTTGTCCCAGTCAGTGAAATATCTGGGAATTATACTGGACTGCAAACTGAACTGGAGAGAGCATGTGGAACACAAGGTTAGCAAGGCTCGCAATTCGATGTGGGCTTGTAGACGTGTTGTCGGTGTAAGGTGGGGGCTTAAACCCAAAGTGGTATACTGGCTCTACACGACGATAGTACGTCCATCTCTCTTGTACGGCTCCCTGGTCTGGTGGCCTTGCATTAGAACTGAGTCAACCAAGGCCAAACTCAATAAAATTCAGCGTTTGGCCTATATTAGCATTACAAGCGCAGTGCGAACAACGCCATTGAGTGCAATGGAAGCTCTGTTGGATCTCCCACCGTTGGATCTGGTGATCCGCGGTGAAGCGAGAGTAGTCGCTCATCGACTGTGGAGTCAGGGCAGCTGGGCTTTCTTGAATCCGGTCAAGGGGCATACTGCCATATTAGTAGAATTAGAAAGGGAGGACCCCGTCCTTCTAAGCAGGGGTGATCGTATTACCCCTAAATATCGCTTCAACCGCAAGTTTATTGTGGAGTACCCAACGAGGGAGGAGTGGGACGCCGGTAGCCGAGCACTCTCCGAAGTGAGCGGGCAGGTCTGGTACACGGACGGCTCGGTCACCGAAGGGGGCTCAGGTGCTGGGGTCTCTGGACCTAGAACTAGGCTATCTCTGCCTCTCGGTGAGTACACCACCATTTTCCAGGCGGAAATCTTTGCGATTCTGGCTTGTGTATCTCACATTCTGGAGGAGGGTGGGCCTAGGAGAAGAATAACAATCTTATCCGACAGCCAGGCTGCAATGAAAGCACTAAGTGCATGTAAGATTACTTCGAGTCTTGTATTGCAATGCAGGGAGGCTCTGGATTGCCTCGCAGCGAGGCATCCGGTATCGTTAATATGGGTACCGGGGCACGCTGGGATAAGGGGCAATGAGACGGCGGACACTCTGGCGAAAACAGGATCAGCCAGCAAGCTCGTTGGTCCTGAGCCAGCTCTAGGAGTAACCGCGCATAAAGCTAGGAGGAAAATGGAGACGTGGGTTGCAAGACAACACTCTCAGAAATGGAGAAGTATCTCTAGACATCTCCGCCAGGCACGAGAGCTCATTGAAGGGCCCAGTGCTAAGGATGGACGCTTCTGCCTATCTCTGGGTAGAGCCAACCTAAGGTTGCTGGTGGGACTGTTGTCTGGCATAACACGTTAAGGCGGCACCTGCACGTGATGGGGGTGGCTGAGGATCCCTTGTGCGAACGCTGCGGAGTAGAGGAAGAGACCTCGGCGCACGTTTTGTGTCGCTGTGAAGCTCTGAGCTACTATAGGCAGACTATACTGGGGTCCATTACTTTGGACCCTCAGGACGTAAAGGAGCTTGGACTCAAGGCGATTCTCAACTTCGCTAAAAGGGCGAGGCTTGTGATTTAAGTATTGTAGAGGTGCATAAGGGCCCGCTTAAGCGGCCTATGCACTGGCTCCTTATGGTGGCCGGGATGCCTCTAAAATTCAAGATTCATTCATTCCACACCTAAGCTATGCAGTCGGTTATCTTCCAAAACAAAGAAATTAATGACGATGATCCCTCGAGTACTAAGAATTCAGGATGTAAGCTCACTCCACGCTCAGAATGTCCGAGTGAAGGGTGGACTCCAGGGAACAACATCGAAGATAAAATTTGTTTCACGAACATCTGCGGGATTAACAGCAACATTGATGCTGTTCATCACTACCTGCAATCCAATCGGCCCACCGTGCTTTTCTTGGCGGAGACAAAAATCTCAGAGTCCGCAGACATCCTTCTTTGTCTTGTCTAGCGTCAATACGATAATGTGTATTTTTTGGTCTCATGTTCGTTTTCGCAATCAAAGACATTGTTTTGTGTGGAATGGACTGGGATATGTCTCGGGGTCCCTCAGAATGTTTTATTTATTTTTTGTCGGTTAACAGACCAATGAAGTTTTTTATGTTTGAATCTTTAATATTATTACACTAGTTAATTATAAATGCCACGTACTTATTTTGTTCTCATATAATAAAATATTGGCTTTCTGAGGAATTCTGAGCAATTTCCATGTTTTTTTTCAAGCTGGCCTTGACCAGATAGAGCACAATGGATTTAAGGAGCAATAAAAGGGTAAATTCTAGAAGATTCACCGAGGTTAAAACATGACCAGCCCCAAATATCGCGCCCCCCCCCCTAGACGAAATCCTGAATCCGCCCTTGGAGAAAATCCATTTACCACTGACGTCGTAATGTGTACGATAGAGAAGCGCGAAAAGCGTGCAGTACGTATGTTAGAAAGAGATAGAAGCACCAGGTTGCCTAGCAACTCGAGTGACGAGGCCACGGCTGCAGCTGTGGTTTGCCGCGTTGCCATCGTCGCGCTCTTTCTAACATACTCGTCAGTTATATTTGGATTTTTATGAATGTCATTATGTTATAGTTTAGTTCTAAGTTAGCTTTATCATTAGTAATGATTGTATTCTTCAGACAATAAAGCATCATCTATCTATAAAATGAACGATTTCAAGTTACGCAAAGGTTAAATTCCTCTATCCGTGTAGGAGAACGTCCGTTCAGGTGCGAAGTATGCGAAGCGACATTCGTCTACCCGGAACACTTCAAAAAACACCGTCGCATCCACACCGGCGAGAAGCCGTACCTGTGCGAGGTGTGCGGCAAGGCGTTCAACAGCCGCGACAATAGGAACGCCCACCGATTCGTGCATAGCGACAAGAAGCTGTACGAGTGCCTGGCGTGCGGCGCTGGGTTCATGAGAAAGCCACTGTTGTACCAGCACATGCATGCGCAGGGCCATCTCAATGATACTATCGTTGTTAATCAGCCAAGGTAAGGAGAAAAGGGTTCTCGAAGATTTACCACATTGTACTCTTAGTCTAAGATCCGAATTACGAGTATATTAAGTTCTCCATCGAGCTCCTGTCGCGACGGAATGAGCTACCTCAAATCTGACATCAAGCCGTGTTTCTTGCTTCCCCCACTACTATCCTGACCGGTCCCCATCTCTCTGCGACGCTAATTCTTGACTTAGCAGCCGTTACCGATGGAAGGGAAAATCGACGCTCCCGTCAAGTAAGTGTCAATTGCGGTCTATTTATAAAAATCCTTACACAAATGTATAAAATATGTGCAAATATTGTGTATAAATGTATTACATAAAATATAATCTCGTTTGATCAACACCATTTGTGAAGAATCACTTTATATGGTACGGGCAATCACGATACTAGTTAATGAGTTGTTAGCAATATTGATGTAAGGACGATCGGATAAAAAAATATTTCCAATAGACTTGGAGCGGGGCTGCGATGATGAATCCACATCCGTTCGTGGGGCTCGACATCTCTTTCCTCACGTCCAAATAGGACGCAGACGTGGACTGTCGGCCTCTTTTTCTCTTCTTATCTTGATAACATATTCGTCGGGTTTTGAATTTGGCTGCTAAACTTCCCAATAGTTCTGTCTCGTTCCTAGGGTTGTGCATTCCTTCAGCAGCCCCGAATGCTCCGCTTTGAGGTCCCTGCTAACAACTTCTAGGGTGTTTGCGTTTGGCGATTCTGGTCTGTCTATAGTGTCACTCTGCTCTGCTAATTGCCTCCGTTAGTTACCTATTGAATTATTTAAAATTTAAATCAATTTACTTCTCGTTCACAGTGCAATTTTGACAATTCTTTTCACAACTATTTGGAAATAAAATGTGTTAAGCTGTGCCATCTGAGAATGAGTGGCAACAATAGACTGAACCAATCATAACCTATAGATAACGTTATCAAATGAAACTGTCAGATGCCATTAGTGTTCGGCGCAGTCATGAGATGACACAAAAAGCAGGATACAAAGTCATGTATATTACTTACATCCCCATGTGTGGTCAAGTAGTACTAACCTATTTCAACAGTTATGCTTATGGTGAAAAAGTATTTTTTGTGTGGCTCGGACGATTTCTTAATTGATTTTACCGATCAAACTTTCAAAAATTGTCCTTGGAAGTTAGCTTTTTGTATCAGAAGATCAGTAAGTATATATGATTTATATATATATATATAAAATTAAAGCTTCCGCCTTTTGTTGGGTACTTCGACAAAATTTAAGCAAAGAGGACTCTTTATACTTTTTTAATTCTCTCTAGCTTTCAATGGACTTTGCCATCATCATCAGGAGAGTATTATGTGAGGATGTTGCTAATTGTTGTTTTCGTATAGGATGAGGGAAACGTCCAGTAACATGGTGAGAGCTGGATACATGGTACAATGGTTAAAATTATATAAAATATGACAAGACACGTTAAAGACAGATTGTCAGCATGTTACTGGACGTTTCCCTCATCCTATACGAAAACAACAATTAGCAACATCCTCACATACTACTCTCCTGATGATGATGGCAAAGTCCATTGAAAGCTAGAGAGAATTAAAAAAGTATAAAGAGTCCTCTTTGCTTAAATTTTGTCGAAGTACCCAACAAAAGGCGGAAGCTTTAATTTTTCACCTAAATGGTTTAGACGACAATGACCACGTCTCAAGTTACATCCACATATATATATATATATATATATATATATACGTGAGCGGTAGTCATTGCCAAAGCCAACGACCAGTTGGGTACAAAATACAATTAATTGTAATTGTTTTCCAAGACAAGTTATTTCAGCATTTTAGTAATTTTGGGTGGAGGTACACCGAGCGTCCCTCGTATACTTCATACCCAAAGCTGGACAGGGAGATTTACAGTTCCACGGTCCGTCGCGTCAATCACTTGTCATCAGTCGACGCGTTATTTTTCCGTACCGTCCCGCTCTCCACGTGCTGCGGAAACAGAAGGATAGAGACTGCATTCCGATTGTTTCAACAAAATGTCGTCTCACGTGTAATATTTTTAACTTGTTCGGGTGGAATGATATTTTTAACATTTAACGAAGGTATATGTCGTTTTACAACAAACCCAATGTCCCCGTCCTTTTTTTTGTATACTGATTATAAGTTCGATCTTCTCTACGTTCGTTCTGAAACACCTTGTGGCTGCAACCTCACCGACGAGTAAGTTGTCTGACAATTTAAATCTGTCCTGTTTTCTTTGCTAGCATCACAATTGTGTTTTCAGAATCCTGATGAAGGCTCCATAAAGAATGCCGAAAGCTTGATTTTATCGTCAAAAGAGTCAACTGAAGCCTAAGAGTTTTGCCAATTTCCCAATTAACAATTAATTGTGTATATATATGTATATATATATATGTATATATATATATGTATATATATATATATATATGTATATATATATGTATATATATATATGTATATATATATATGTATATATATATGTATATATACATATATATATATACAGGCTGTCCGCAAAGTTGGGGTTTTCCTTTACACGACGTGTAGATCTTGGAAACATAAGCAATTTTTCTTAGTACCATATACACCAATGTCTTAAGGGAACCGAGATAAAGGGCTCTGCAACATCAAAAATATCTGAATACCGTCCTGTAGCCGCGACCCGCCGGGATATCACCGGTTGGTACAAGGTCTCAACCCGACGACAGAACTCGGTCGGGGTCAGTGTGTCAGGTCAGTATGCAACCTTCAACCGAGGGTTACGGTCACGCGTGTAGAGGTTACGTACCCATATAATCGATTACGTTTCAAAAAAAAAAATAATAATGGCACACTCATACATCAATAATGAACTCGTTGATATGTTGTTAATTTATGGCGAATGTCTTCAAAATTCTACAGAGGCGTCGCGAGTGTATGCAGCTCGTTTCCCTAGACGACATCATCCAAGGCCCCGCAGATTTGTGTACCTGGTCCAGAGTGTCAGGGATACGGGCCATTTGGAGGAATTTCGAGGTGGGCACAGTGGGAGGCCTAGACAACCACGAATGGTGCAAGTTGAGGAAGAACTACTGAATCGCGTAGAGAGAATCCCTCAACAAGCACTAGAGACGTGGCTAGAGGAGTGCAAGTATCAAAAACTAAAGTGTGGCAAACGCTGCGTCAAGAGGGGCTGTATCCGTTTCACGTAAAACGTGTGCAAGCCCTTCAACCTGACGATTTTGTGAGTGGTTGTTGCATCAACATGACAATAATCCGGACTTTTTGAAGTGCATATTGGTGACAGACGAATCTACGTTTACGCGTAATGGGGTGAATAACTTTCGCAACACTCATGTTTGGTCAGTAGAAAATCCGCACGCTGTCCGTCGGGCACATTTTCAACAAACATTTTCGGTAAATGTTTGGGCTGGCATGGTGAACGGTATGCTCATTGGACCATTTATTCTCCCAAATCGATTGGACGGGATGCAATACCTAGACTTTTTACGCAACATTTTGCCTTCCTTGTTAGAAGATGTGCCATTAAGTGTAAGACAATCAATGTGGTTTCTGCACGATGGTGCACCGCCCCATTTTTGACGCGAAGTGCGTGAGTTTTTGGATGAATTATTTCCGAATAGGTGGATCGGACGTAATGGACCCGTAGCGTGGCCTCCGCGATCTCCAGACTTAACACCATGTGATTTTTTTCTTTGGGGAGAAATGAAACGCTTAGTGTACAAAACTGAAGTGCATACGGTTGACGAACTTCGTCTCAGAATTGAACAAGCTGGTGCTTTCATTCGGGGGAGGGGCTCCATTCTCAAAGCCTGCACCGATGCTTGGCTACGTCGTGCACGCACCTGTGTTTTTGAATCAAACGGCGATAACTTCGAACAATACCTATAAAGTACGTTTACCTAAAAACTGAAAACGCGGCAACTCCGTCTTATTTGTTTGGTCTGCACCACCGCCGGCGTCTGCTCGGTAGCGCATCGGCTGATTTCATTTTCTGTTGGAGCGGTATGATTTCGGGCAGAGACGTACTTAGCCCTTCTCGTCAACTGGAGAGTGAGTACTTTTTCCTTTATTTTTTTTACTTGGTCGCCCTCGTTTCACTACACATTACCTTTGTTATTTCAAGGGTAGTTGTTTCTGAAAAGGAAAACCCCAACTTTGCGGATACCCTGTATATATATATATATTTATTTATTTATTTATTTACTCATGTTTGGGGTGCAACAGAATGTGAATTCCAAAGACAGTACCCGCTGCTTACTATAGTGATAAAATAAAAAGATACATAGATTACAAAATCCAGAAGATATGAAAATCTGTAACACAAGCCTACTATATGAGAATAAACAATATAGCAACTACTATAAAACGATATAAATTTAAAATTTAATTTTTTTTAAAAATTAGCACACTACGTAGCTATAAATTCATTTTTTAACAATATAAACTGGGTCAAGTTGTTCGATGTAGATAGCTTGGACAAAATGGTTGATATTTTTTATGAGAAACTAAACTCAGCAATAGCCTCAAACGTACCTACATTTAAAGTAAGAGGGTACTTTCCCTCTTATTTTAAGCACGATACGATCAAGAAGATCAAAGAAAAAAACAAATTTCATAAAAAATACAGATCTTACAAAGAACCTCGCTACTATCAGGAATTCTGTGAATTAAGGAAACAGTCGAAACAAATGATAGCTAAGGATTTCAGAGACTATGTGAAAAACATTGAAGAAGAAATAGTTTTAAACAGCAAAAAATTTTGGAAATATGTCGCCAGCAAAAAGAAAAATCACGAATATATACCCAGCACAGTTTACTATAAAGATAAAATTGCTCTTGATCGTGAAAATGTGTGCAACTTATTCTCGGAATTTTTTTCCAGCGTTTTTGGTGAACCTAAAAAGTTAGTTCCTCTAAAAGTGACGGGAAATCATAGCATTTCATACTCATTGCCTTTAGAGACAGTCAAAAATCTCATTTTAATATTGA